CCACACAATCAAAGGCTTTTGCATAGTCAATGAAGCAGAAGTAGATGTTTTTCTGGAACTCTCGTGCTGTGCAACTGCCCTTAATATTAGGGTTTTAAATATCAAAGCAGTTTCTGGGGCACACAAGAACTCAAATGGTTCTTCCATAAAACTCAGGCATATGGTAGACATTTGCAACAGAAAGAGGAGAAGCATTTCTAAGCAGTTCCCCCCTTCTGTGGATCAGAAAGCCCCATTTCTGGCTAATTTTCCATCAGAAGAACTGCAGCTGCTGCATTGGCAAGGGCACTACGAAAGCTTGGCTATTTGACCTCTCCATCTCAAGAAGGGACGGCTGAAGACAGATGCAGTTGGAGTTTTGAACAGATTCAAGGTTGGATTGTTTTTTTAAAAAGCTGTGCGACCTGGGCCAAGTCTGTTATTCACAGCTGTGGATTATGTGGGGCAGAGCTCCAGCGTAGCCTCCACCCATGCAAGGGGCACCAAAATGACAGTAGTTTTTCAAAGTACAACGATGGTGCAGCATGTACATAACACACTCACACGCCCCTTCCAAATGCGAGAGAAAGAAGAGGTGCGAAGAAAGCTGAACGTTGTAGGCCTCCCTAGCCCTGTAGTTACAGGTTCCAGTTGTTGCTGATTATTTTTTAATTCAAAATTTTAAGTGCAGAAACCCACAGATTAGGGCCATAATTTCTCCATTCCTGTAAAATTTGATCTAGTCCTTTTACAAAAAAGAAATAAATTGTTTCTGCTCACTAATTCAGGAGCATCCCTCCATCCTATCCTTATCTTGGTGCTTTGCCTATTCCCTAGTCAATTTCACAACCTCCTTTTGTCAGAGAGCCTGGTCAATTTCATAATCCCCAGTCAATTTGACAATGGCAAAACCTCACTTGCTTATATAAGATATTTTCTGGGCAGGATCCCACCAGTCAAAGAGACAATGGAACACCCTGTATTCAGCACTGCGGAGAAACCACAATTCTCTGAAATACTTGCCATAGAAACACCCACACACCAAGATGTTTGAGCAACAATAGCATTAAGAAGAGGGCTTAGAGCATGAGTTGTGGGTTCTGTGACGGAGGCAATGGTGACACAATTAAAGTAGAATGCCTTGAAAGACCCAGCCTGGATGTGCCTTGGGATGAGCAGGGGAGAATTATTTTGTGCTCTAACCAGATCCCCATAATCTGGCAACAGGGAATCAGAAGGCTCTCTGAATGCAGCATTTGTACATGATCAAGAGAGATAACATACATAACATCCCCATTGCCTTGATTTAGAAAAGTCCACCCTGCTGTATTCATACTTCCTTTCTGGATTTGGCCTTTGGAAGTACTTCCCCTTCATTTCAATGGGACCTGTATCCAAATAAATGTGTTTAGGATGCCAGACTAAGCTGGGCTCAGGGATGGATCGTTTTAATATGAAGAGTTGTTGTTTTTCCCTACCAAGGGTATCCATATTGCTTGGCCCATACAATTGACCCTGGAAAATAAATGGCATAGACCACTTCATTTTCAGAGCCTGACCATGTCTCCTCAGGAACACTGCAGCTGTTGTACCGAAGGTCTGCAAGAGAAAATAAATATTCCACTGAAAATAAGTCTAATCAAAAGACACCCTTAAATGGAGCTCAACTTCTAGGAGGGATTCCAGGGACACATCTGTGCAGTTTTATTGGCAGCAATAGATGGATAGAATTTGTCATCGCCTTTTCCTGTCCTGTTTTTTTCCCCTGATTTCCCAGTCTGGGCCTATAGCCCTGGGATTTCGTGGTGGTCTCCCATCCCAGTACTAATCAGGTCTGGTCATGGTTAGCTTTGCATGGTCAGCTGAATGTTGCCACCAAAAAAAGCCCAAGTTGTGTAAATACATGAACTTTTCCCTTTTGGCCTGGGGTTCATTTCTCTCCCCTTCTGGGGTTGAATTCTACACTGTGTTGAATTCTACCCTGCCAGACCTCTGGATCCATATACCTGGACAGTAATGAAGAGGTATTTTTTATTTCTTAGCTTCCAGATTAAGCTAAAGCCCTGGAAAGTCGTCTCTATGCCATACAGTAGTCCCTTTTAAAAAGTATCACCATGCTAGGTAGACACTGCTCCCACCGACACAGGTGCTTAGGCCTCTCTGCAATGTTCGGAGGCTGACTTACTTTAAACCTTCTAAACCAATATTAACTGGGTACTGAAACAGGACAACTCAGCACGTGCGTTGTACCTGAGCAGATAAGGGTTCCTGGGGAAACCCAGTGCTCATCCGCAACCAGACGTACCCAGCGCAAAATGCTCTTACTTAGCTGGAGGAAAGAAAGGCTGCCTAGTCCACCAGCCCCATCAGCAGGCTCGTCTCGCCTCCTCCTTTACCCGGGTTCTGGCTGCAGGACCAGTCATCTGGCAGAACTGATGGATCCACATCGCTGCTCAGCTGCCGCCACTTCTCACAGTTTGGGTAGGAACACTGGACCCAAGCTGTGCACCAGCCTAGGAGCGGAACAGAAACGGGACCTTTGGGTTGGACATCAGGAAAAGAAACGCTATGCTTGGAAGCTGTTCAACCATGGGACAGGCTGCCTTAGAAGGTAGTCAATTTTCCTTGGCTGGAATTGTCAAAACAGAGGCTGGACGGCCATCTGTCAGGGGTGTTGCTATAGTAGGTTCCTGCACTGGGCAGGAGGTTAGACTAGGTGATCCACCAGGTCGCTTCTGATCCTGACTTTCTCTGATACTATGTCAGGAACAGGGAAAACAAGCCCCAGCAAACTTCAGTTTTGTAAAGCTGCACAACTATCCTGATTCCAATATATTTTTCTCTCTATAGTTTTGGGGTTTTTTTTCCTATGGATCAAAAGCTCTTCATTCTGGGCATGGGACAAACAACCTCTCTGCAAAATAATATATAAGGATGAAAATGGTCAAGGCTGGCCATATTTTCAGGAAGAGCAAGGCAACCACCTGAGGTGGCAGATGCAAAATAGTGCTTGGGCCTTCCCTCCCGAGCCCACAGTCTAGCTTTTCCCCAAAGAGGTGGCAGCACAGGCCACATGGTTGGTCCTGCATGTCTCAGATCAGTCTGCTGCTCTCAGGTGTGGAAGAGGATGCGATCCCAGTGCAGCACTAAGGGCTCTTCTTCACAACCACATATACATGCCTCCCTCTTATCTTTCAATCAGCAGAAAAATATGATAATCATAAAAGTATGTTTTATTTATTTTTAGGATTGTTTTTATGTTGTATTTTAATGAATTTTTATCTTGTTGTAAACCACCCAGGGTCATTTCACAAGATGGGCGGTGACCAATTTGATGAATAAATAAAAATAAAATAAAATAAATAAAAATAACTGCATTGCCTCCATGGCTAAGCTTTTTTGTTTCAGAGTAGCAGTTGGTGGATTTCCTAGCTTCCTTTCACTATGTCAGGAAAAAAAAAAGTATCTCAGCTGACAGGATGATGGTCCAGAGGATGATGCAGGGAGGAGTGGGAGGGAGCTGGCAAGCACACTGACAAAGCTGCCTTCCCGTCAACTCCGTCCAACCACAACTTCCTTGGTTTTCCCTTCCCCTCAGCTCTTTCCCTCTTCATCTATTTGTCTGGTGAGTCAATTCTCATTCATTCTTTCTGTACGACCAAAATACCTCAAGGTACATTCTGGTCACTCACTTTTGTATTCAACTCCATTCATTCAGCATTCATTTTTTCTTGGCTCAATATCTCCTTTTCCAGTCCTTTTCACCTACTTTCAAGACTTTTTAAAAATTTCCATCAAAATTGCTCTGCATTTTTTCTTAACCGCTCCTTGCTCCCTTTCCCTGCAGCCATTGTTTTTCGCTCTGTAAGCATTGCAATGCCCCCTCTTTCTCATTCTTTGCAGCCTGCATCATTTATATGCATTTACTTTCCTCAACCAGAGGTTCTATCACCTCATTATTCCACGAAGTACCCTTTTTCATACTTCCCGTTACTGAAACTCCCCACCCTTCTGTGGCACTTGGTAACGTAATTATTTTTACTCTGCCCAAGCAGCTTTCACTTCTTCTTTCCATATGTCCACTTTCATTTATTCCGTTGGGAGATTAATTGTCTTATCCTTTTTCATACAGAACGTGTACTTTCTCTTCTTGTACTTGCTCAACTTCCACTCGAGTTTCTTTCATTTCTTTCCTTTCACGTCCATTTTTCTCCAGGATCTATTACAACATTACTAAAACCTGGTCTGTCCCACATCCAGAATACTCATGAGCAAAGTAACCTTGCAAATTATCATAATAAACAATCAAATCAATCATGCTTTTAGATTAGCCATGTGTACACATAAAAAGATGTATGCTTAAACCGCATACCGCATGTGAAACAAGCACACCATTTTTAAATAAGGTATTCACAGATTTCATCTTTCTTATTCATTCTTGGGTCTCCAAGTGACTTTTTCTCTACTCTCTTGTCCCATTCTCCTCCACCCACTCATATCAACAGAATTTTGTGCAATTTTTAAAAAAATCAATTCCTGATTCTTTTATTGTCACCATTCATTGGTACAACTGCATCAACCTATGAACTCCTACTTTCATACACCCCCACAACAATCTAGTCAACATAGTTTGGAGTATATTGTCCTATGTTCTAGCCCTTCATGTAATGAAACCTGCAACTTCACTGCTGTGCCTTTATTTGTCAACTCTATTCCATGAGAGCAGACCACTTTCATTCAGATCAATGATATTGTTCCCTTTTCTTTTAGCTGCATAGATTAAACCTTCCTTCCTTCCTTCCTTCCTTCCTTCCTTCCTTCCTTCCTTCCTTCCTTCCTTCCTT